ATCTTCTTTGAATTGGTAACTAGATGATTTATCCTATTCATAATGAGACTTAACATGTTATTGGCTAAAAGAGATACATTTCATATAATTTAAATCCTTTTCTTATTTCAGTTCGTAGAAAAATCTAAAAAACATGATAGCCAGCAATAAAAGTTTTTAGACTTTGTAAAAAATATTCTCCAAGTTTTTTAAATTACAATAACACCCTTACAAATTCAAAATTTTATTAAAGCATCTTAAAAATTATAAATTTTACTTATTTCAATTCAGTAAGAAATCTGAAAAAACATATGCTAGCGAGAAACTGAAAGTTTTTTGACTTTGGAGAAAATATATTGTAAGTTTTAAAAATTACAAAAGCACCCCTAAAAATTCAAAATTTATAAAAAACACATTAAAATTTTCAAGCCTATAAACACACTAAAAACCTACAAATAACACAAACAACCGCTAAAAAAATATGGAATTTACAATAAACACTGACTTTTTACAAATTGCAAAATAAAACCCTCAAAATTATAAAATTTATAAAACTCCTGATAATTTTCATCCTAACAGTACATTAAAAATATAGGAATTATAAATATTCCTTACATAATTTATAATTTATACAAAACACCCTTAAAGTTTCAAAATTTACAAAAAAACATCCTGAGAATTTTAAACTCATTAGTAAATTAAAAGCATCAGAATTATAAATAGTCTATAAACAATTTACAATATGTACAAAAGGCCCATAAGTTTAAAAAATTGCAAACAACCCCTAAAATTTATCATTTATGAAAAACACCATGAGAATTTCTAATCTATAGACATTAAAATGAATATGCAAAATTACTAACAATCCCTAGAAAATTAAAATTTTACAAAAAATATCATACACTCTTTTAAAAGTATAGGTTTAGGAAAAAGTTTTCATGGTCAATATTATCCATAACATTTTTAAAAAGAACATAACTAATTAAAAATCTATTAAAGTTGAAATTTAGTACATTGCAAATTACCCCTCCAAAGTTTAAAATTTTTTAATGATTTTTTGTAATTCCTTATTTTCAATGTATTGTTTAATAGTTTTGTGTATTTATAAATTACAAGATTTTAGGGTGTTTTTTTTACAATTTTTAAAAGATTTGAGGGTGTTTATTTTATAGTTCTCTAAATTTTCATTGTGTTTTTAGTGTAATGCATAAATACTTCAATTAATAATGATATTGAAGAGTTATAATAACATTTTTTAAATTCACATCGTTTGAGGTAAGATTTGATAGGGACCTTGCATTAAAAAAAATTTATATTTAGAGCACACGATGAAATATATCTTGCTCTAATTTCGCAAGAAAATAATTCATCATACTTTCAGTTTTACTTCTATGGTACAAAAAATAAGCTATAAAATTGTATGAGAATGTTAGATAATATAAATATGAGTGAAATCACAACTAAAATTTAACGTGAATACGAGTCAAACCACAACTAAAAGTTTAACGAACATATTGCAAGTAAATTCATATACAAAATTCCTTTGCGAATTGAATGATCATCCATCTTTTGAAGACTTTAAGATACTAATAAATGGAGATATTGTACTAGATTAATGTGTTTATAACTCACAAATAGTAGATCACATGGCCACAGTCTAGATTGAAGGAAACGATGACAATATTTTATTTGAGAGAGATTATTGAGTTGATGATCCCATAAAAAACTTTGTTTTCTTTTTTATTTTTACTCTATTTTATCAATTTAAATAATTATGATATTCAACCACGTGCATTGCACGTGCATCTCAACTAGTCAATAATCAAAACCCTGTACTACATATTGTTTTTATTCTTTATATTTACATTGAGGGACTATATCAGGGTTAGGATTAGCTGGATTCTTGTGAATACGTATTAGAAGATTTATCTGCTGTGTTAATTATGGCAAGTTTGAGACTCACTTTGGTTTTGGACAAGGAGGTTTTGTTAGTCTTGGAAAGGATGCATTCTAAATTTTGGTTTAAATGACAATATATATATATATATATATA